GCTTTGGGAGAAAGGAAACCTGTCAAATTTATTCATTGATATGTGCTAAACAATTTTATATGGGTCACGGCAAGAAAATGCTGGGGAGAACAGTGCCAAATGGACACTTCTATTCTAAAGTGTTGTGCTTGTCCTAACCACAAATCTTTAATGAGACAAGCTTTAGTAATTGTCATTATGGCATAATGACTGTAAGCACTGCCAAAGGCATGACTAAGGTATTATGCGGCGGGTATCCCAATATGAATCTTAAACTGTGTGTGGTGTTATGCTGCTATGAACAGAGGTGTTGTGGCTGAAGAAGTCTACAAGGGCCTCTCCTGCCTTTACACTGCAGCTTCCAGTCTATTAAGGACCAGCCACTTCTTTTTTTCAAGAGCCAATGTTTTCATCTGTCCTCCATCCTAATCATTCAACTCATTGTGTATGTGGGGTGGAGGTGGAATAATATGTAACAGTGGTGAGTTGCTATGGGACTTTGTGAGTGTAAGATCTTGGAGGAGGATCATTAGTGTGTGGAGTGTAAGACCTAAGGGCCTTGAGGAGGGGGGCATAAATGAGACAATCACACAAAGTATCGGGAACCTCTTGTACAACAAATTACATGGTTGTTATATGATGGCTGTGCAAGTAATTTGGCTAAATCTCAAACTAAGTCAGATAATTCAGACAAATCTAAATCAGGCCCAAGTCATACAGGAGCACATCATGTCAGCATGCTAGTCAGCGGAAGAAAGTCAGATGGTGGCCCCCTAAATGTTGCAAACAGCACCATGTGCAGAAAATACTTGGGTGGGTAGATGAGTGGGGGAATCTGGATTTTGCTCATGGACAGTTCTAGCTTCCAATGTGGAACAAAGATATCTTCAGGATTCTTCAATCATTGTGTTTAAGGGAAAGGTTTATTTCCCTCTCTTTTCACTTCTCTGTTAGCAGGAGAAAATGTTTTGAAATAGTTTTGTTGGTGATAGTTGTGTGTTTCTTTCCTCATACTATCAGTACCAATGTTCAGTCCTTTCTAAATTTTTTCTCAGTCCTTATATTTGTATGACGCTGGCTTAAATCCTATTATTTGGTCTTGACTAGAGTAGACCCATTGAATCAATTGAATTTATCTATGCTTTAACTCATCATTCAACAATTAGCTGGTTGGTTCTACTCTAGTTGGGACTAACCAAGATGATGCTGGCCTCTGTTTGTTGCTCTCAATATTATTTTACTAGTAATTATATTTGGCAATGACACTGGCCTTATCTCCTTACTTCCTACTTACCTACTACCCAATTTTGAGCATAGGTTTTTTAAAGGTTGCATTTCGGTTTGATTTCAATGTGTATTGTTTACTGTGTTTACTTACACAGCAAAAGTATGTGCAAGCAACATATATACATCACAGTAGAGCTGGAAAGAATATTTGAAAACTTATTTAAACAATTGAAAAACAAGTTTTTCAAGTGATGGGAAACCCTGATGAGAAAAATCCTAGACTGAAGAGAATTTTCGCAGTTTAGGACTTATTCTGCTGAAATTCACATCTGGTTGTTTTGCATAGAAAACAGAATTTTCTGTACAGGAAACTTCATTTTTTGTATTGAAAGTAACATTTCAATGCAGAAATATAAATCCCTGCACAGAAAATGCAGACATCTCCAAGAATCCCTATCTTCCACTACCTTGCCCACATCCTGAAAGTCCTTCCCCATAACCCTTTGATCGAGTCTATCCCTCTGGTTTGTGGTCTTCCTCTCTTTCTTCTACCCCTACCTTTCCTAGCATTATTGTTTTTTCTAGTGATCCATGCCTTCTCATTATGTGGCCAAAATATGATAGTCTCAACTTTATCATCTTGGATTCCAAGAAGACCCCTGGTTTGATCTGTTTAAGACCCCATTTGTGCTGGAGGAAGGCAGCGCCACCCATGCAGCGATGGCAAGGCCAAGTGCTGGGCTTGGTCAGGGGACTCTCCAGCTAGCCCGCCCAGCCCTCCACCATTACCACCTGGTGTACTTCAGCAGCGGCAGCGAGGCTAGGAGCCAGGCTGGGGGGTTATGTAACCCACCCACACCCTCCTTCCTCCAGGATAGTGCCATAACTATCCAGATAGGTTCTGGTTCATAAGAATACCCTGATCTTGACTAGGATACCTGTCTGGAACACAGTCCACTTCGAGTGCATGCATCTAAGCCTGAAGACCAAGGATAGTTTGGGGATTCTGCTAGTATACAGACCACCCCATTGTCTAGCAGACTCCCTAACCGAGCTGACACAGCTGGTCTCAGAGTTGCTGTTGGAGTCACCCAGACTTTTAGTTTTGGGTGAGTTCAACATTTCACTCAAGACCAGCTTGTCAAATCTAACACATGTGGCACAGGAATTCATGGAATCCATGACAAACATGGGCCTATCGCAATTGGTCATCGGGCCCACACATTGTGCGGGTCATACACTTGATGCGGTCTTTAGTATGGAACAGGAATATCCATGGGCGGAGGTTATTAGAACCACCACATTGTCATGGACACATCATTTCCTAGTCAAGACTGAATTAAGAGCCATTATCTGCCCCACCGGTGGTGGTGGACCCATTAGAATGGTCCGCCCTCAAAGACTAATTGAACCAATTGGATTCCAGAAAGCCTTAGAGGGTTTAATGGTCAGTAATGCCGGTGATTCTGTTGAAGTTTTGGTTAATACCTGGAATACCAACCTTACCAAGGCTATCGACACGATCACTCCCAAGCCTCCTTTCCAACCCGTTTCAAACCATAAACCATGGTATACAACAGAGTTTAGGAAAATGAAGCGGGTTGGACAATGACTAGAGTGCACCTTGCGGAAAACTCAAGTCTTATCTGACAAGACTCATTATAGGAACTTTCTTTGTTCCTATCGAGAGGCAATACGTGTTCCTATCGAGAGGCAATATTTTTCCTCTGCACGTATTGCAGGTCCCACCTGAGCACAACCCATTACTTAACCCGACAATGATGCTGTTTGATATATATATATGAAGCTGCTGGGTGAGATCATCCAGAAACATGGGATGGGGTGTTATCAGTACGCTGATGACACCCAGATCTATTTCTCCATGTCTCAGTCGTTGGCCTCGGCTCCCAGTGGCATCTCTCCTTCAATGACTGTCTTAAGGCAGTAATGGACTGGATGAGGAAAAACAGATTGAGATTGAATCCAGACAAAATGGAGGTGCTCACAGTAGTGGCCCCAAAACCAGGAATAGGGATACTACCTCCAGTCCTGGACAGGGTCACACTCTCCAAGAAGGACTGTGTTCGCAGTCTGGGAGTGCTCCTGGACCCATCACTTCAGATGACCAATCAGGTAAATGTGATGGTCAGGAGTGCCTGTTACCAGCTTCGGCTGATACGCCAGCTGCGGCCTTTCCTAGAAGTAAGGAACCTTACAACTGTTGTGCATGTGCTGGTAACCTCCTGTCTTGATTTCTGCAACACACTCTACTTGGGGCTACCCTCATGCTTGGTCCGGAAACT